CCAGCACAATATATATATATATATATATATATATATATATATATATAGAGAGAGAGAGAGAGAGTTTTAAGGTGTTCTATATTTATGGAATAAAGTGCTCAATGTCAGGGATAGTGTATGTAAATTTAAAAGTGAACATTGAAGGCAACAGACTATTTCATATCAGGCCTGATTATTGAGTCTAGCATATATATATATATATATATATATATATATATTTGATTGGACTAAAATGCTGTTTTCATTGATGAAATTACACATAGATTTTTCTTTTTGTCTTTTTGATTTATAGTCTATCTAATTTCATTCAGTTTTTTTTTTTGTTTGTTTGTTTTTATCATTTTTGTCATTAAATATCCCACATTGTGATAATTGAAGATCTGCCAAGAAAGGTTAAATGTAAGAACCTGGATGTAAATTTACTATGGATGACCGAGTGATTAAGGCACTTTCTATACATTTTTTATCTTAGTAAATTGCTTTCTTTTTTAATTAAAGTAGTATTTTTCAAATCAAAATTATGGTCAGAAAAAAAAATTGAATTTAAATTTTTAGTCTACATTAAAATAATTGTTGTACTTAATCCATTTTATATATATATATATATATATATATATATATATATATATATATATATATATATATACATTCCTTCCTGTAGTTCACTGCTACTAACAAACAGAAAATTTTTTCCTCTTGGTGATGACCATGCTGGCCGAAACTAGTCGAGGAATCTAATTAAAATAATAAAACAAAAAAATATTAATATACAGCCCAGTGTGTCTGAAAATTTTAATTTTTTAATTTCTCAATATTTTTTATTGTTCAAAACGCACACACACACACGCACACACACACACACATATATAATTTTTAAGAATGTGTATTGTATATCTTTGCTAAGTTTAGAAATTGTTTCAGATTTCACTTTTTAGGAGTGGTGCCGCATGTCTGTAGCTTGTTTCATCATTATTAGCTGAATGTTGATTTGAAATTTTCACTGTATAACATTCAGTTTTTAAAGATATATTTTGTTAAAAAAATGACTAGTTGTCCAAAAGGAATAGTCAGGGTTATTCCTTGATGTCTGCAGCATCATTATTAACCTATGGCCTTATTGATATGAGTACCGATGGAAATTCAACACCTGCTAGAACCCTTTACCTACTTGACATGATTATTAGATGAACAACAGTACTTATCACTGTTTCTTTATCCAATTGCCCAGTGCATTGCTCTTAGAAGCAGGAAATTCTCAAGAACACTTTTCTGAAAACTATACTTGATCTTAATCACATGACATTTTCTGTGACCGAATCTTGCCACTAGAACACAGGGAGTTACAGGGAGTGAAATACAATGAGAAGATTTAAAATGGGAAGTACTGAGGAAAGGACAAAAAAAAAAAAAAAAAAAAACAGGGTTCAAGAAGACAATGTGGCATTTGATGTTGTATTTAAATTTATGAAGATTGTAGTTACCAGGGAAGCAAGACTTTGGAAGGGAGTTCCACTAGTGGGAAGTGCCAAAAAAACAAACTGTTAGTATAGAAGTGGAGGTTGCATCTTACTAGTTCAGCAGTAAAACAGTGAGACCTAATTGCCAATCTAGTAGCATGTTTAAATTCATGTAGTTTGGATACCAAGGGAAAAAAGCTCATCCAAGCAGTTACCATAAAAATATTTGTAGAACAGGCAGAGGGAAGCCACGTCATGTTGGTGAAAAAGTGACTGGAGATGAGATGCCTGGTCAGGACTGATTGTATTGCTGATCCTTCTCTGGATTTTGCCAAGAATCTCAAGATGCACAGTAGGAGCACCAGACCAGATATGGCAACAGATGATTCCAATGTACAAACAAACAGTAGATTTATTAATATGCCAGATAGATTCTGACGTCAAAAATCTTTTGACATCACACAAACAGAATAGAACATATGGTTGAATCTAGCTAGTTATTAATTTTTATTTTTAGGCAATGAAAGAGAATGAGAAGATTGAAAATGGAGAGAAATGAAGGAAGGGCAAAAAAAGGAACAGACTTCAAGAAGCCAGAAGATGGCGGTTGACATTGCATTTATCATAGAAATAAGAAATTGGAAATTCCAAAGGTGTTAAGCGCAAGTGGGGGGAGGGGACTGTTAAAGTAGAAATGACGGTTGCATCTAGTTAGTTCAATAGTAAAGTGGTCAGACCTAGTTGCCAACTCAGTAGGATGCTTAAATTCTTCTATCGGGGCACCAGGAAAAAAACCAAAAAACAAAAAAAAAAAACCTTGTCTGAGCAGTTACCATGAAAATATAGAACACGCGGAGGGAAGCCACGCCATTTTGGTGAAAAAGTGACTGGAGATGAGATGCCTGGTCAGAACTAATTGTATTGCAGATCCTTCTCTAGATTTTGTCAAGAATCTTGAGATGCACAATAGGAGCACTAGACCAGATATGGCACCAGACGATTCCACTGCACGAACGAACGGTAGATTTATAAATGTGCAAGATGGATTCTGACAGAGAATCTTTTGGCACAGCATAGTGAACCAACCTCCCTTGTAGCAGACGTAGCAATTGACTTGATATAAGTCACTCCTCTTCATGTTAGTGGAAAATGTGATGCCAAGAAGGCATAGTGTTGCTCTCCTGGAGTTCAGTATCAGCCATCCTGATGGTAGGCAGAAAAGTTTCTATGTAGTGATAAAATAAAAGCAGGCAGGAGGTGTTTAAATGTTAAGCCATTTCTTGCCCCATTTAACCACTGATTGGAGGTCCTTTTCAAGAATAGTTGCCAGGTATACTTTGTTGGACCTGTTGGATTTGCTATTAAGACAAGAGTGTTTTCTTAGCCTGTGACTGAAATAAACTATCAAAGTTATATTACTTTGCCCCGCTTGAAAATAACTTCTGGGATCATTCTACTTTTATATGCTGTGTCTGTCTAATCATAATTTTTATAATGCTTCCCTAAAAAAAATAATTCCATTAAAAGATTATAAGATCAAACAGAATCTGGATGGCCATTTATTTGTTCTGACTCCCTTTGACTTTCATCGTAATTTTTTTTTTTGCTTTTTATTGCCTCTCAACATCAGGTCCTCAGCCCTTGGCAGTGTGTAGACATCTTGTATTTATTGGTTTTGCAATAATGTCCACCGTGTACAAGGTCTAAAAGCTACAGTACCAACTGCTAGGTGTCTCTCAACTTGTACTTGGGTCCATGTTTATCACTTAAACGTGTCATTATTCTCTGCATGACCGCCATATTTGGTCAATCCATATGAGCAAGTGATAATTCTCATTTTCCAAGGTTTATCATGACTTGATTATCTTCTCATATACTGATGAGGATCAATTGACCACAATTTCATTCAAGAGTGGCTAGCTGATAATTGATATGTATGCAGTGTGCATCAGCATGCAGTATGGAGAAATGCACATACAAGTGTTGTGAATAAACAATCAGACTGTGAGTATCTGTTTGTCTGTCTATCTGTGAAGGGCTAGTTCTTGTAGGGGTCCATGACTACGTCCTTTTCTTTCTTTCTTTTTTTTTTTTTTTTTTTTTTAACCAAAATCTTTAAATTAACAGAACATCTGAACCATCAAATAGAAAAGAAGAAATAAACTTCTTGATTGAATCTGTTATTCTTATGAAGGTTGGAGGACAAAATGGCTGAAATGTAATAATAACAAAAAAGATGAGGACAATAGTCCTCATGTAAATAATGAGTTTCTTATTTTGACAATGCTGTAGAAATGTGTTTTTATTGGCTTTTAAAGATTTAGTGTTCTGATGTGTGGTCACGTTATGGAAAGAGGGCTATACTGAGAACTCTTCAGTACCCTCTCATATCATAGCACCTGTTACTCAATTCAGTAGGTAATTTTACCTGTTCCATCTGTCAACATATATATATGTAAATCTCTCTCAGAACTTAAATTATCTTTGTAGACATGCCAAGTCCTTGTCAGATGTACAATGATTCATTGTACCCCAGGCAAAATTTCAAGACATAAAATATTAAGGAAAAAAAAAAGTTGTACTAACAATTACTAATTCAATCCCTGGGCCAAGAAGTGTGTACTTGAACTCAGTAGAAATAAGGCAAGGAAGAACCGAGCAGTGCTAAAAATAAAAATGTTATAAGTTATTCCGAGACATAGTCAGTGGAATGAGAACAGTTTACCCCCGGAGATTAAATCAAAGATTCAGTTTGGAATTCCCTGTATGTTATCTGGATCAATATACACCAGATGATGGTCGGAGGGCATAAAGGCCGAAATGTTGTGATACAAACAAAGGTGAGGATAATAGTCCAAATGTAAATAGCGTAAATAATAACTCCTCATCCCAGAAATTCAGACAGAAGACGATCAGGTGATAAGAACAACAAAGATGAGGATATTAGTCTGAATGTAAATAGTGTAAATAATAACTCCTCATCCCGGAAACTCAGACAAAAGCCGATCAGGTGATAATAACACCACAGATGTGGGCAATAGCCTGAATGTAAAATAGTGTAAATAATAACTACTTATCCCAAAAATTTAGACAGAAGGCAATCAGGTGATAAAAACAAAGATGAGGACAATAGTCTGAATGTAAATTGTGTAAATAATGATGACTCCTCATCCCAGAAATTCAGACAGAAAACCTTTTTTTTTTTTTTTTTTTAAAACCTTATAGCAAATCCAGACGACTGTTTACATGTATTCAACAAAGTTGGACGGCCTTTGTGCTTAATTAAAAATCTGTGAAACTGTCAAATTTCTTTTGAGAGTTTCTTTCTCCAACTTGTCTATTTAGGTCATTCAGATTTAGAGATAAATGGAAATATGTTCCCCCACCCTTAAAAAAAAGAAAAAAAAAAAAAAGTGGTTTTGGTTTACCAGATTTGTTGCATCATTGCGACCACATGTTTCATCTTTTGAACCTAAAACTCTGACCCCACTTCCCCAACACTTCTGTTTAGTATTATTGAATATCCAGGCTGGAATTTCATTTATGCTGAGTCCTGTTTTCTCTTATTTTGTCTTTCTCTTCCTTGATGATGATATATGGAGTCAAACCATTATATATGAAGAGGTACTGAAAAGTTTTCTGCTTTTGTACCCATGACTCATGTAATGGATTACAGGACTCCTGATCCTATGCATGTTAAAAAGTCATTCAGTCCTAGAAGCCTGCTGATAAAGGATTAGTCAATTTAAATGTAGTTGGAGTTTAGTTAATTACACAGTTATCTCCTCTTATTTATTTGCAAAGATAAAGCCATTTCTAGAAATGGAAGGGGGTTCAACATTAAACTTACCATGTCAATTTTTTTCTTGATAATTTCTGGATGTTTTTAACTGGTTAAATATTTAAACACATTGAAGAGAAAGTTTGGTTTCTGTAAAGATTATAAAAACATTGGTTTCATTACAGTTTTTTTTATTAATCAGTTCGCCCCCAAGCAAGTCAATACAGCCACTAAGACGCAAGGGGTTACTGAGTTTGAAATAATAAAAAAAAAAAAACATTATTAAGGAGAGAGAATAATAAAAGAAGAATTAAGAAGATAAATAATTGTTATGGGATCTTACCCATAATAATAATAATGGACTATTAAATACTTAATAAATACTGCGCCTAAGGAATAGGCAAGGAGTCAGTAGTTCAGTGAGTCAGTCGCTCAAGTCTTGACCAGCTGCTCAGTTGAACTCTCTGCCTTCGGGCGGGGAGGAACCCGAAGGAGGCTACGCCGAAGGAAGGATTCTCTTCCGGGGAGGTAACCCGACCCTGAACCCGTTATCTGGGTTCAATGGGCATATTTTTGGCCAAGCCCACGAGCTCGGAGATCCCACGTTAAAAAGGCCTTGTGCCACATGACGCCCTCGTGGGGGGGTGACTGAATATCGTCAGTAGTTCAGTGAGTCAGTAGTTCAAGTTGAGTCAGTAGTTCAAGTTGAGTTAAGAGTTGAGTCAGAGGCAGTCCGAAACAGAGTCGTGTTCAGACAATTACTACAAGACATTGGAATAGTGATACTGGTCGAGACTACATTGTTCTCTCTACTAAATCTGATTGTTCATACTAACACTTCTACTTCTCTGTATATATTCCTGTTAGTAATATATCTGTGTTATTCCATACCTGTCTTCGAGTTCTTCTTTATTGGTTCTACCTTGGACTATCTCCGTGGTACATAGAACCGGACCATAATAATAATGATTGGCATTGCATATACATTTTTAAAATTCAAAGTTGGCTGGAAAGCATGGAGCCAGAAGAGTGTTCCGTGAGAGAGAAGTGCGAGAAATGAAACTGTTAGCCTAGAACTTATGATTACATCTAGACATTTCAATAGTAAATTGATGAGACCTTGCAGCTAATTTAGTACATTTAAATTCATAAAGTCTAGGTAGCAAAGAGGAAAGCAATATTTTATTTCGAAAATACAAAAATGTGGCACAAGGCCAAATGGAGGGATAGAAGAATGCTGGTTTTTCAATCTGTCTTATCTTAAATTTAGCTAGCCATGATTACTGACCCAAACATAACACAGTATTCCTTACACCAAAATAACACATTATTATTTATCATTTTTACTACAGCCACCATAATACCTCAAAGTCTTTATGTAGTCCTTACTAGTTCCCATATGTACAATTTGCCCAGGTGGGGGGGGGGGTTAAAAATAACAACTTTTAAAAATTTGTAACCTCAATGAATATTTACAAAAGAGAAAAGCTCATCAGAATAATTACCATGAAAATATTTATAGAAAAGACAGAATGAAACTATGTTATGGTGGTGGGAAAGTGAGTGAAGCCTAGATGCCAGGTCAGGACAATTAATATTACATATTCTCTAGATACATGTCAGGAGTAACAGACCAGATGTGTCAGCTCTAACCAATACATGGACGAATACAATAAATGACTTTAAGAGTGTTTCAGTTGGACATAGATTTCAACATATTTGATGCTGTTATAAATTTTGTGCATGTCTAGTATCAAAAAGAAACGGCACCCCCCACACCAAAAAACAAAAACTGACCTTAGTTGAACAGGAAGTCAAGAGGATATAAAATAAAGTTGTAGCATTTTGCAGCAGCTGTCACTAGACTGAATGGTTACAATTGCAGGCTAATTACTATTGAGTTGAATGGCGGTTTCATTGTTAGATGGGAATTTGCACAAGTAGTTGTCAGATAACACAGTAAAGGCAATTCATGCAGTCAGAGAACAAGATGGTGAATAAAAACTGAACAAGTCTGAACTGTTATTTATAACTTACTTACTCTTAAGCTGTGTTTGTAAGTGTATACAAAGTGCAATTTCTGAAACCACATCACTCCTTACATCTGATCATGTAACTCCCAGACTGCAACCCCCTTGAATATTGTGGGGGATGCAGTTGATTGAGAGACCAACAAACCTTGTAACACCAAAGATGAACTGAAGGCAAAGATCATGACAGCATTCACCAACTTAAACAATGAGAATGTTCAGTGCAGGAGATTCCAAAGTTGTCTGGAAGCCAGGATTGAAGCCGATGGTGATTTTATTGAATAAATTTACTCTTTTGTATTTCAAGATATTTTTGTGTAATTTTGGTAAATATCTGTTAAAATGAGATATCAGTATTATTTTCATTTTTGCGTAATTTAGATGATAATTCATCTATCACACACTGTAGAATGATTCAGTTGCACATTGTGTTTAAATGCGTAAAGAAATGCTATTCTTTTTTTATACTAACGTTTATTCAATGACCAGGCCCAAGAGCCACTCAAAGTAGAGGGTCACTGAATGGGGTGTATGACATGAACATAATAGTTGAAAGTGAGAAGTGAAGGTTATGAGGATATAGTAGATACATAACAATTACCTCTAGACTCAATGCTCTTAAGATTGTAGTGTTCAGAGAAGAATCTTTCTGGGAGTTTGTTCCAAAAAGTAGTGATCTTTGGGAAGAAGCTGTCTGTTTTTTTTTTAAGTTCAGGTGGCTTATATTATTAATATAATGTGGATACCGGTAATAAAGAATTAACTTTTAAGTCAATCTGAACTGGGATCCACTAACCTTGGAAACCTGTCTGACAGAAACGATACCTTAAACCAATTACGCCATTATTACTCATCCTTGTTGCTCATTTAACAATTGCTCACTCACCACTCACTCACAGGTTCTTATGTGACCACAGAAGTTAAGCAAGCCTGATCAGTACCTAAATGGGAATACCAGGTGCTGTAAGCTTGGATGTGTGGATGGTGTATTAGATAATGGCATGGAATTGGAAATCAGAGAGTTGGGTTCTAATTCCAGTTTGATTTGTTATCTACACTTACATGCAAATGCCATTCAGAACTGGATGAATTCACCTGTTCTCCCCTCAGCTATGGGTTAATTAGTAGGACTTGTATCAGTAAATCAGTATCTCCAAAAATTTCTTAAAATCTAAAAAAAACTTTTCTGGCTTTAAATAACCTGCAAATGGTTGATAAGTCATAAAAGGAACGATCAATGTTATCAGCTAGGAAAACTGGTCTGCTTGATTTTGGCAATATCATACTTATTATAAAACCCAGGTTGTGTGTGTGTCTGTGTCTGTGTCTGTGTGTGTCTGTACGTTTATATATTGGATCGGATTTCCTACATTTTTCAACCGATTTTAACAAAACTTCACAGGACTACGTAAAATTACCTTGCAGTGGTTCTGACAGTGCCAAAAATTGGAAAAATACAATTGTTTTTGCATGAAATCAATTTGAAAACACGATTAAGAGCCATCGCTTTCGCAGAATGAAAGGGGGACAATTCATATCGAGTTATACTTATTATAAAACCCAGGTTGTTTATGTGTGTGTGTGTGTGTGTGTGTTCATTTATATATGGAATCAGATTTCCTACATTTTTCAACCGATTTCGACAAAACTTCACTTGTTTTTTTGGCAGGTACTCTTTCTTATTGTCTTGCACACTTTTTTCTTTATTTTTACATTCAGAATACTTTGAAAATTCCATTTACAAGACAATTGTTTATAATAAAATTCTATTCAATTGGTAGACTCATAACGATTGAAAACAATGTTTTTGTTTGAGTTTGGGTTTGACCAATTCGTAAAAAAACCCAAAAAAACAAAAACAAAACAAAACAAAAAAAAACTAATTAAGACATGCGTGTCCGTCAACCTTAAACAATAATCTTTGTCAATTTTATTTTTCAGTCTTTATGATGGTTGATACTTGATCTATCTCTTATTGTTACATCCCCGGGCAACGCTGGGCTCTACTGCTAGTCAGAGTTAAAATGAAAAAGAATACAAAGATATTTTTTGATGACTGTCATCATTGTTTCAAGGTGACTGTTCTTGTTCTTGCCCAGTTAATGAAGCTATCTGTCTTGTCAGATTGAAGCTTGACATTTAATTTTTCCATATAACTCTGACCACATCTGGCCATTTAATTCAATGGATCACTGCCAATCAGTAAACTATGGCCCACTAAATTGGGTCTGGCACTTCAACTCTTGGTAAATTAGGTCTCAGCTTTCTTAAAAGTGGATATATATACATATTTGTCTATGTATGTATGTATGTATCCCCAAAATTGGCTCTATTTTCATGGTTAGGTAATATTGGTGCTAATATTTGTTTATTCATATATATATATATATATATATATATATATATATTCATCCACTTACAACCCTGTTTCACTCATCAGTGTGGCTAGATATCGGATTGCTTCAAGCTGGGATCAAAACCCAACCAATTTGGCATCAGTCAGAGATCTTTTTAATATATTTCTTGTTTATACGTTATTTTTATAGATATAGATATTTAAGTAAATGCTCTGTTTACAATAAACAGTATTAACAACATATACTGGTCTGAAGAAATCTTAAAGAAAAATTTGTGTCCTTCGACAGGAATCAAACCTGTATCCTACACAGAACAGCCATATAGCCTGACATATAACATTTAGTTACAGTAGAAGTGTCTGGTTAACAAGGTTAAATTAATGTTTTTTGAACTACAGTCTTCCCAAACAGATGCTTCCTCTGGTATAGTGGTATAGCATGTCAGGCTATATGGTT